CTGTGTTTAAACCTTTTCTTGAGTTCTTATAATAGTGGTCTTATACAATATTTGTCCTTCTGTGACTGACTAAATTCACTCAGCATAATACCCTTCAGCTTCCTCCATGTTATAAGATGTTTCACGGCTTCATCGTTGTTCTTTATCGTTGCACAGTATTCCATTGTGTGGATACACCATAATTTGTTTATCCATTCATCCGCTGATGGGCACCTAGGTTGTTTCCATCTTTTTACTATCGTGAACAGTGCTGCAATGAACATGGTTGTGCATATATCTATTCGTGTGACGGCTCTTATCTCTCTAGGATATATTCCAGGGAGCAGGAGAGCTGGAGTGTATGGTACCTCTACTTTTAGCTTTTTAAGGAAGCGCCAAATCGATTTCCAAAGTGGTTGTACCATTTTACATTCCCACCAACAGTCTATAAGTGTTCCAGTCTCTCCACAACCTCTCCAGCATTTATTATTTTGTCTTTTTTGAATTAATGCTAGCCTTGTTGGGGTGAGATGATTATCTCATTGTAGTTTTGATCTGCATTTCTCTAATGGCTAATAATCGTGAGCATTTCCTCATGTGTCTGTTAGCCGCTTGAATATCTTCTTTGGCAAAGTGCCTGTTCATATCCTTTGAACGTTTTTTAATTGGGTTATTTGTCTTTTTGTTGTTGAGGTTTTGCAGTATCTTGTAGATTTTAGAGATTAGACACTGATCAGATTTGTTGTAGCCAAAAATTTTTTCCCAGTCTGTAGGTTGTCTTTTTACTCTTTTGGTGAAGTCTTTTGATGAGCATACGTGTGTGATTTTTAGGAGCTCCCAGTTATCTGGTCTCTCTTCTGGTGCTTGTGCATTGTTACTTATGGTTTGTATTGTGTTTACGCCATGTATTAGGGCTCCTAGCATTGTCCCTATTTTTTCTTCCATGATCTTTATCGTTCTGAATGGGTCTTACATGTTTTTAGCTCAATTCATTCCTCATTTCTTCTTGTCTTGTTCCTTTGCAAAGTAAAAAGTTGCAGATTCCCAGAGTTCTTTTGGCGAGGGGGGTATGTCTTTATAACATTGTATAAAACCTCTAGAATTTAATATAAATATAATATGAACCCAATAACAAAAACAAAAAAAATCGACAGAAATATGTGGTTGATATATTATTTTTGAGCTCAGGAATTGAAATATAAATAATTTAAAACTGGATCCTGGATCAAGTATTTCAACATGTATTCAGTTAATATGATTTGTAACACATATACACTGTAAGAAGTTCCACTGGTACTCACTAGCACAGTTAGCTGTCTCTGTGATGAAAAAATTTTGAATGATAGTTCTCTGGCAGCTATTATATAGTGCTGTTCAACATTTTTAGATTTTTTAAAAAAATCTATTAAGCAAATTTCAAAATGGATAAACCCATCTGAAATGTATTAAACTGTACTGTGTATTTTCTCTAAAGCAGCTGTAAACTTTAAACAGGCACCACTCAACTTTCAGGCACTTAGCCAAGTCCGCTATTAACACCTCTGTGTCCTTGCTCCTTTGATCGTCTTTAAAATTCCGTTACTACTTAAATTGATTAGAACTTCTAATTTGATCAACTATCCATAATTGACCCTACTATACTTAAAACACAGTGGTGACAACACGATTGGGAAACACGGCATATTATTTGGGTAACCTCCAGGATCCATGACTCAAAGGAAATATCTCCTAACCCAGGGGCTCTTTATGGGCTGGTCAGGAATGGACTTCTGGGCATTCATGAATGCCCAATTTATCATTTATATGCATAGGGATGATTTTTTTGTTTGTTTGTTTTTAGAACAGGGGTTTAGACAGGGAGCCTAATAAACTTTGTTTCTTCATTTTCACCAAAAGGTCTATGGCCTCAAAAAGATTAAGAATCATCTATTTTAATCCATCCAACAGCGGATAAGGCTTTCAAGTACTGTATGACAGGTACCATTATATTTTTAGCACATCTGATATATTCAATTATATAAAATTTAAAGATGAACTAAGAGACATTTATGGCTCATTGATAGTGAAAAATCCATTTTACAAATAAAAGTTACTAAAAAGATCTTATGGATTTTTTTTAAATGAATGAAATCCAGTGTTCCTAAAATAAACGATTTCTTAAGATAACTTTAATTTTTAAGAAGTCATCTTACAGCTAAAAAGGATGTTACCTTAGGACTATACTGGCTGCCAGCTAACCTCCAGAAGAGAGGTAGAAGGTAGGGTAAGGATGCTACCTCCCCCCGTGACTGTAAAAGTCTATGCTATAGCAATTAGATCCAAACAGTTAGCTGGAAGGCAATAACATTATCGAAACTATGTTTTATAAGCCCACCAAAATATTAACATTTAGTTCCACTATATTATATTACACTATTAAATGAGGTTCTAGCCACCAGAGTTGTAAGTCTCTATCAATCTCACCTTGGTACAGACCACCCGTACAACTACTTTCCACAAGGCAGAGGAATCAGACCCAGGTTGTACTTCAAAGAGAAGATGTTTTTCCTGGCCAGCAGCCACTTCAGCAGTTCTGAAGACAAATGCATTTGTTAATTTCACAAAAAGTCATATAAAATAATGGAGCTATGAAATAAGATTCAAGTAACACTTTAAAACAGAGAAGGAAATTTGAAAACACAAACATAGACAAATACCAATGGTAATCATTGTAATCATTAGATTTTTAAAACATGAATAAAGATACTGGACTGACAGAGACTAGAGGAATCCCCAAGACTGTCACCCTAAGATACTATTTGAACTTGGAACTAAAGCCACTCCTGGTGGTCATCTTTCATCCAAATAATAGACTGGCTTATAAACTGAACAATATCACCCATGAGTACTGTGTTCCCTTAAATAATCAACTATCTATGTTAACAGTCAACCTTTACCCTAAAACAAAAATGAGACGCTAAAGAGGGGCAGGGAAGCTAGATTAATGAAAACAGAACAAACAGAATGGAAACCATGAGAATGTTGACACATTGTGAAAAATGTAACCAATGTTATGGAACAGCTTATATAAAAATTGTTAAATGAGGATCTAATTTGCTGTGTCTTCTACCTGAAACATAATATAATATTTTAAAAAAAAAACAAGACTGATGCTAATGGAATTTCAGACAACGAGACTGATAGAAAGGGAGATGTATTGGGCAAGGTTGGCCACAAAAAAAAAAAAAATTAATAGAGAATGTTTTGAACTTATAGAAACATACAACTGAATTTACAAGGTTTTTAAAGTCAAAAGCATAGTGGAATATTTATAAATCCCTTTTTGTCATATCTATATCTCAATGATCTTTGAATTTCTAACAAAGACATTTAGGAAAAACAAATCCAAGAAATCAAGTACTTAAGAAAAGTTTATCTGGTTTCACTTATCCAAATTTTGACTATTGCCTCAGTGGTATATAAAGTGTGAAGAAATCTTGCTCTTGGTTGAGTGCATATTTAAGCAACACACAAACGTGCCTCTTTGAAAATTTTTTTGTTTTATAGATAGTTTGGGGTTGAATCAAACAAAACAATTTTGAGATACTTTAAATATGGCTCTACTACCCTCCCCTAGCAGAGTAATTTTAATTTAGAAAGCCATAAGATTCTAAAGTCAAAATATATCACTTTTAGAGGCTAACTCAGTATCATGCTATCAACACCAATTTAAATCACTTCAAAGGCATACTTAAACACTGCAGCTCCCTTTTATTAAACGTTCAATTAATATTTCTCCCCGAGCACCAGTGAGGATATCCCACTCAACTAAGCGACTTACAGATAAATAGAGGTCATCAAAAAATTAACAACTAGCCCTAGGTAACAAAGTCTGCCAGTGAAAATAATTCAGCTGTGCCAGTTCCCTGTTCTGTTTTCTAGCTACCAAGCCATACTCCCTTCGTACAGGTTTAACCTTACAGTCCTCAGACAGCACTGAGCTTGTGAAACTCCCAACTCTGACCCATGGGAATTGGTTTTAAGAACCAAAGCTGGTCAGCAATGCCCTGGGCTAAATAAATAAAAGGAAGGTATTCTTCACCTTCATCTCTGTGTTACACAGTAACCTTCGCTTGTGGATGATTTCATAGGACATTTTATCCAATATCTTTAGACCAAAAGGCAATCTTCATAGAGTCGGCCTATATAGATAAATTCTAAGATTCTAAAGCGATGGTAAATGTCATTGATCACTCTTCATAACAGTTTAAACAATAAACATAAAAACACATTCCATTCTTGTACTGTTAAAATTCTCAACCCAATTTTACTCCTTAAGAGTATGTTCCTAGAAGTAATACTTCAAAAAACTACCATTTGGGTGATTAAAAAAAGGTAAAATGCTAGAGTTTTTTAAACCTATGAGCAACTACATTTTTATAAAAGATCACACAATACTGAAATAGAGTAAAATGTAAAATCTAACTTCACTTCCCCAACAACTCCCCACCCAGACACAAGCAGAGTAGTTTACTATGTATCCTTGTAGTTCATTTTCTATGCATTTACATGGCACAGTTGTTAAGAGCTCAGGCTGCTAACAAAAAGGCTGGCAGTTCAAATCCACCAGCCGTTCTCTGGAAACTCTATGGGACAGTTCTATTCTGTCCTACAGGGTCACTCTGAGTTGGAATCGACTTGACAGCAATGGGTTTTGTATATATGTCTAGAAGCACTGGTTATGCGCTTGGCTGCTAACCAAAAGCTCGGCGGTTTGAACCCACCAGCTGCTCCACAGAAGAAAGATATGGCAGTCTGCTTCTGTACAGAGGACAGCCTTGGAAACCCTACAGGGCAGTTCTGCTCTGTCCTATAGGGTCACTATGAGTCAGAATCAACTCGACCACAGTGGGTTTGGTTTTGGTATATATGTCTACCCATACAGCTTTTTTTTTTTTTCTTAATTAAATGAAATCCAGTGTTCTTAAAAAGAACTGGCCAGGTTTGGTTCTTAAAACTAATTCCCATGGGTCAGAGTTGGGAGTTTCACAAGCTCAATGCTGTCTGAGGACTGTAAGGTTAAACCTGTACAGAGGGAGTATGCCTTGGTAGCTAGAAAACAGAACAGGGAACTGGCACAGCTGAATTATTTTCACTGGCAGACTGTTACCTAGGGCTAGTTGTTAATTTTTGATGGCTTCAATTTATTTATCTGTAAGTCACTTAGTTGAGTGTGACATCCTCACTGGTGCTCAGAGAGAAATGTTAATTAATGATAAAAGGGAGCTGCAATATTTAAGTATGTCTTTGAACTGATTTAAATTGGTGATGATATGACAGGATGGCATTGAATTAGTCTCTAAAAGTGTTACATGTTTACATCAGAATTCTGTGGCTTTAGAGTCTTTATGACTGAACTAGTATCAGTAGACTCCAGCCATGTCCATTAAAAAAATAGTATTTTCTTCTCCTTCTAATGTGTTCTAGATTCTCAAGTATGTTTCTTATCATCTAATACCGCTATTACAAAGCCTAAGGGAATAGGTTCATGTATCTTACCCTAAACTATTAACAGTGACTATGACACTGTAAATCCACATACTAAGTAGTCCCAGACTACTATTGATTTTATTTGGCCTTTTTTAGTTCTAAGGAAAGGTAATGTGGAATAGTGGAAAGAGCTTCAGACTTAGGAGAGCTGGATCTGCCATTAACACTTGGGTAATCATTTCGTTGTTGTTGGGGGCCACTGAGTTGATTTCGACTCATAGCAACCCCATGTGACAGAACAGAACTGCCCTACAGGGTTTTCTTGATTGTAATCCTTACAGAAGCAGACTGGCAGGTCTTTCTCCCACAGAGTGGCTGGGTGGGTTTGAATCACCAATCTTTCAGTTAGCAGCTGGGCACTTAACTGTGCCACCAGGGCTACTTGGGTAATCATTTTAGACCTCAGTTAAGATGCCCATCATCAAGCAGAGTGCCATGCACATAGTATGTGCTCAGTGAATGTTAGCTAGATTAAACAGACTAAAGAAAGAATCCTGAAGATCTCATTTAAGAGACAAACCTAAATGAGATATAATTATACCTCCAGGGGAATTAAAAAACCAAACTCGTTGCTATCGAGTTGATTCTGACTAAAAGTGACCCTACAGGACAGAGTAGAACTGCCCTAAAGAATTTCCAAGGGGCAACTGGTGGATTCAAACTGCTGACCTTTTGGCTGGCAGCCAAACTCTTAACCACTATGCCACCATGGCTGGATAGAAGTTATAATCATACCTCCAGGGGGATAGAAGATAGTTAAAAGTTACTTTTATATATATATGAAGAGGGGTGGATGTGGGTGGCTTAATAGAAAGAAGTGACATTTGCCCGCCTGTCACTAGGGGAGAAATCAAACAAGCAATATTTTAAAAGCATAGCAGTCTGGGGCTATTCAGGGACAGAGAGTCCAGTACATTTTAATAGCTTCTATACAGACCAGTGAAAAAATTGACAAAATAAAGACCCTAATCCATAAAGAAAAGGTTAAATTCTGTTAGTTTAAGAAGGCAGAGAAACTTATATTCCATTTTAGATTGAAATGGTGGCACAGTGGTTAAGAGCTTGGCTGCTAATCAAAAGATCAGGAGTTCAAATCCACCAGCTGCTCCTTGGAAACCCTATGGGACAGTTCTACTCTGCCCTATAGGGTTGCTGTGAGTCGGAATCAACTTGACAGCAATGGGTTTTGGGTTTTTTTTTTCTTTAAAATTCAGAATAATTAAGTAGGGATTTAAAAGTTATAAGCTAATTAGAAAATATTAATAAATAAAATATCTCAATCCACAGTGATGAAAAATGAAACCATCTCTCTGGCAAAATAATAGTTCGTGAGCAAACACACATGATTTTTTTTTAACCAGCTGAACTGGCTGATGTAGAGAAACATTCTTAGTGTTGCCTTTGACTATCCCAGGAGCTTTTCTCTAGAGGGACTAACTGGCATATTCCCTTCTCCTATGCATCTATACAGTGCTTTCAAACAGGAGTGGATTTATAGTGTATAAATTTATAGTGTATATATCCTATGGATCACAATGGTCTGACCTGAAACCGATCATGGGGATAGTGTAGGACCAGCAGGTTTTTGTTTAGTTGTGCATGGGGTTGTCACGAGTTGGGGGCCCCAACTCGATGGTAGCTCACAACAGCAGTGTACAATTGCTGAGATACTGGGTTGTATATTCTAGAATTGCTTCAATATGTTTGTGCTCTGTCTTCCAAATTCAATTTTAATTTCCTTTGATCTCTTCTGTTCCCATTACATATTTTAAAATAGCTACATAGAAAGGCTATGTATAATAGGTACTCAATAAATATTTGCTAACTGCCGCTGAAAACTAGTTGAAATTAAAGGAGTAAAGCTTATCATTAAGGTAAGTCAAATTAATTAATATCTCTGACTACCTCTTACACAGCCATGGCATATGAGCATACGTCAAGAGAAAGAAAATAAAATGAAAAAGAGCAAGGCTTACACATCATTAAGTTCAGCTACTCTCCCAAGAAATTCTTCGTAAGTTAAGGAGCCACTTTCTCGAACCAATGTGACATGTCTTGCTACTTTTTCTGGCAACTTGCCAATAACCAGTTGTGTTTGATCGGAAATTTGCTGTCCCATGATGACGTGATGTCTTGCAAAATCCAGAAAGGATGTTGCTTCATTCACATAGTTTCTGTCAAATATACATACAAGTTACTTTCATATGCAATATAAAAGCAGTGTATATATAATATACACCCACCCCTTAAAAAAAAAAAAAGAAGAAAGAAAACAAATGAGGAATACATCTAAGTTCAGTAGACTTACATGAACCTAAGGTGAAAATTTATTTAATGGACTTATATTTTTAAAGATTTATATTTGTTTTTTTCAGATTCAACATAGCTAAATCAGAAAACAGGATTCCCTTATGTTATTGAGAGGGTAATTAACCTCTAATTCTTTTAATTTTGCCAAGTCAGAAACCATTACAAAACAAAACAAAACAGACGTTTAAGTGATTGTATTTAATAGGAAGTTTATCTACCTTATATAATTTTCCTAAGAACATTTCCTGGCTACTTACCACGTCAGGCTCCAAACTAAGTGCTTTCCATATCTCACTTACTTCTTACAATGACCCTAACAGGTAGTTATTATTACACTCCTATTTTAAAGATAAGGAATGGCGCTAAGTGAGTTAACTTACATAGTTGGTAAGTGGCAGAACTGAAATACGAACTCATGTTTTTCAGATTCAAGTGCTCACATTCTTAACCACTATGATAAACTGGCTCAGATTTAACTATATCAGCTAAAAAATATTTGTTCAATTATTTCATTTATAAAGGTACAACTTATTTTTTAATTAAAAATATAAATCAAATAGATTTTTGGTTTGAAAAACTTGAGAAAATTAAAATACTAGGGAATTTAACCACCTCACATTTTCTGCTTAGGAAAAAAAAAAAAAAGGATTGCTCTTTTGCTTTTTAAATCCTCCAGGTGTTTTTAACTTGGAATTCATGGAATTTGTTTTCTAAATGTTAAGATGCTATTTTAGTTTAAAGGCTGGATTACTACTTTAATAATCTATTATCAATATAAATCAATAATTCATCAGATTGGCTTTAAAACTTAATCACAAAACAGGTATTTAATAACTGCTTACTCTAAAATCTTGAAAGACATAATTCTAAATATCATGGTCAGAGAAGAGTTAGATGTGTTTATTCTAGATAGCTTTTTTCTTCTGGTAAACAACAATTTACCAGAATATAAACTCTTGAGAATGTGGTTAAAATGGGAAATAAGCTAAATTTTTAGTATTTCGCTACGGTGATATAGTCTATAACTGAATGAAAATCCCTATTCAATGCAACTACTATTAATAATAGTAAAAGCAGCTAAAATTTGTCAGTCACTTTCATTGTATAACACACTCTTCTAAGCACTTTACATGTATTCACGAATTCAGTCATTTAAATTCCCATAATAACCATTTTATATAACCATTTTACAGGAAACAGGAGAGCTAAGGAAACAAGCACAGAGAGATTAAAGTCACCTGCCCAAAGTCACAGAGATAGTAATTTTTCCTGTTTTTTTAGAAATAAAGTTAGAAAAAGAAAAAGCACTATAATTTTTAAAAATCTGACCCACCCTGTCAATAAAATTCATTTTATTTACCCATCAAAGACTACCATTTTATCTCACCCAAATTAACACTCAGCATATAAAGCAGGTGAAATAGTAACACTTTCATAGGAGAAGTTTTGCCAGTTAGCCTACTTTTTCATTTAATCAAAAGTTAAAGTTATAACTTTAAAATATAAAACCAATGGATATTTACATTACTATATTTACAATAAGTGCCCTCAATAAACATAAATATATAAATTTTGCTTTTGGTATTAAAATTTAAAGTGCTATATTTTAGGTTTATTCTTTTAGTCACCTTAAATATAGGAAAAGTACAACTGTACTAAAAAAGAAAAACCCAGCAATTACTGTTTTGACTCTGAGCCTACTTGGCAATAGCAAATGTCATATTACAGAGATAAATGAAAGGAAGTTGCTGAAGGAGATCCAGGCCACTAAAAAAACACCTGTGAGGGAAAATTATATATTTTAAATATAGACAAATGGATTCACAGCGACTGTATCCAAAGAGAAACAATTATACATCTTACCCTGGAGGAGGTCTCTGTGGTATTCAACATCAGATTTCTGGATTTCACAGACTAGAAAAATCTCAAAGCAACATGATGTTGCACATTTCTTTTTATTCTAAGTAAGGATGGTTTCCAAAAACAAAACAAAACCTAAATTTAACAAAACCATTATTTCATTTTAAAAAGAGCTATTCATAACCTAAAATGTAGGATATAATGGTAGAAAAATAGTCCTTCCCAAGGAAGGCAGTAACTTCACACTGATGTATACAGTGTCCTTATTTTTCTTCTTCTAATCCAAAATTTGTTAAAACTGTTAGGATGCAGACTGGTGTTAGGGAACCATTGTGTTACACGGACTTTTAAAAAAAATTAAATTCAACAAGTACCATGCTCCTGGTGCTGTGCTGTTCTGGGGATACAACAGTGAGCCAGAGAAACATGGCTCTTGCCCCCATGGAGCATGTGATACAGTGGGGATGAGAGAGTAATCACACAGAAATATGTAATAACAAAATGAGAAGTGCTAAGCCAAACAAGTACAGGATGCTATGAAAACCTATAAAGGGGGACTTGACTTAGTCTTCTGTCAGGGAAAAAGTCCCTGGGCAACATTTGATTTGAGATCAGGACAGTCAGAGTTAGCCAGAGAAGAGGAGTGGGGTCACACTGCAGGGAGGACATTCCAGGCAGAAGTTATAGAAAGTCCCTGAGATAGGAAGGATATGGTGCCTTTAAGGTAATAACAATAAAAAAGGCTAGCATGACTAAAATGGAGAGGCAGAGGAAGAAGATAAATAGCACCGAGATGGGTTGTTTAACATTTTTATTGATGACCTGAAGAAAAGATTGCATGCCTGCCCAATCTGTGGATGACCAAAATTGGAAGGAATGAAAAATATCCACTGAACAACAGAATTAAGACTGAAATAGATACTGATTTAGTGAAACTAAGCAAATTACATGTAATGACTAAAAGTTAAATCCTGAATATTTTCAAAGCCAAATGCACAAAAAACACAATAGGAAGAGGTGCTTAAAAACAGTTAAAATATAAAAGATCTGGGGGTTTTAGTCAAAAGAAGTCGACAGTGTAATAGGGACACCAAAAATGCTCAAATAATTCTAAACTCTTGCTGGAAGCAGATGTCCAGAGCAATGAGCCTACCTACCAGTCCCATTTTACTCTGCACTGGTTTTACACCATATTGAAGTTCTGTATTCAGCTCTAGGCAGTCACACTTTTAAAGGGTACTAATATCAAGTCCAGAAACCCTGGCAGTGTAGTGGTTAAGTGCTACGGCTGCTAACCAAAAGGCTGGCAGCTCAAATCCACCAGCCGCTCCTTGGAAACCCTGTGGGGGCAGTTCTACTCTGTCCTATAGGGTCGCTATGAGTTGAAATCGAATTGACAGCAACAGGTTTGGTAATATCTAGTCCACTCACAGGCACCTCAGAAGAAAGGACTGGTGATTTACTTCTAATAACCCAGCCACTGAAAACCCTATGGGTCTACTACGACACACATGGGGTCACCATAAGTTAGGACTGACTCCAAGGCAACTAGTTTTTTGTTTTTTTTTTTAATTTTTAATAAATTAGAACATATTCAGGATTTGGCAACCAATATATTATAGGTCTAGAAAAGGAAACAAAGCTATTTATTCTAGATAATCATAGCTCGGTAACATAGGGCAACATGATAGTTTTGTTCAAATATTTGAAGAGCTGTCATGTGGAAGAGGAAGTAAGATTTATTTTATAAAGTTACAGAGAACAAAATGGTCAATAAGTAGAAATTAGAGAGGTAGATTTCAGTTCAATGTAAGAAGTTTCTACCATTCAAAATTATCCAAAAGTGGAAAGGGCTGTCTCATAAAGCACATGAGCTACCTCTCATTGCAAGTGTTTAAGATTAGAAGTTCATCTAAGGATATTACAGAGACGACTTTTGCTTTGGGTGGAAAGTAGGTGACCTCTAACACAGTATGCTATTTCCAAAGTGAAACTTAACTTCCCTTTAGCTTTCTTGTACCAATCCAACCAAAAATGCAATGAAGATTCCAATCCACCAAACTGAAACTTTAAATTACACCTACACTTCTTAACAAAGAAAAAAAAAATTAAGCTTTTGAATACAGTTTTAATCTTTAACGTAAAACAGATACTAACAATTTAATCAATGCACCCACCAAAATCACAGTTCAAAAAAAGGCCCTGGTGGCTTGCTTATTGAGTTAGAAAATATCTTCCTTTGCTCTTGCATTATTTTGATCTGATGCCCTAACTTTGATAAGGTTTATAATTTGAGGCAGCATCTTAACTTATCCTGTAATTGCACTTGGTACAATGAAAATCTCATCATTAACTTCTTTGATTAAAAGGGAACACTATCTAGAGACTACCTAAGTGAGCCTAGAACAGTGTTTCTCAACCTGATTCAGTAGGGTGGGCCTGGAATTTAGGGTTCATTTTGAAAATCATAAATATTGATAAATATTAACATCTATCACTAGCATAAAAATATGACTCTGCATGCTCACAAGAACAATCCGTTAAGCATCGGCTAGTCACCCACCACAGACTTTCCAGTGTCCCTCTTCTGTGCACATACTTCTATGATAGCACACATCAACAGTTAGGTCACTTGACTATCTCCCTCCGTGAGCTTCTTGCGGATAGCAGTTGTGTTTTCACTTCCGGCAGATACACAGGCACACGGTAAATTTTACTGAATGAATGCAATAAATACTGTTGACAGGTTTTTTTTAAAAAAATATTTCCTTAGTATTCTTTTCACTCTTGGAGAGAAGCAGAAGTTAGAAGAAAAATACACAGAATAAAAAAATGTAAAATTGTGAAAATGTATCAATAAATTAATATTTACACAAACTGGGCAACAATCATTATTTGATATTAGCAAAATACCTCCATCTGGATCACAGAATGGAGTCCGAGGGTAGTGCAAATGGTTAGTGGGCTTGGCTGCTAATCAAAAGATTGGAGGTTTGAGTCCAGCCTCAGGCACCTTGCAAGAAAGACCTGGCGATCTACTTCCAAAAAATCAGTCTACTTCCAAAAAACAAATCAGAAAAGGAAGGTGACAACGGTTGCACAACTCAAAGAATGTAATCAACGTCACTGAATTGTACATGTAGAAATTGTTGAATTGGTATATGTTCTGCGGTCTATACTCTCAACAACAAAGTATAAAAAAAATCGGCCATTGAAAACTGTATAGAGCACAGTTCTACTCTGACACACATGAGGTCACCATGAGTCGAAGTCAACTCAACAACAACTGGAAAAAGATCATAGTATTGCACAGGAACATAATTTGCAAACCACTGGCATGGAATTCAGCAAACGACCAATCTCAGGAAAAGATTTATCACTGAACTCCACTACCAAAGAACCAAACCATAGAGTTTTCAAGTCCTGATTTTTCAGCAGGAAATTGCCAAGCCTTTCTTCTGAGGTGCCTCTGGGTACACTGCAACCTCCTACCTTTTGGTTAGCAGCCCAGGGACTCGTCTCAAAGAACTAGAGGCTCTTAAATACTATTGTGCTACCTAAAACATAGTTCTTTCTAGCAAGATAATAATGTGTCTTTCAAAAAACATTTGAAGGAATTTCTAAATAAAGAACAATTGTTATTTTGAAACTCATGAGAACACCAAGGACTCCAAAAATGCCACATTCTTTAGTGGGTGGAACATACACTTGATCACTTCTTGTTCTAACAAATGAATTGTTACAGTTCAAATATTCTTTATAAAAATATAAAAATCACATCATGGGCAATTGGAAAAAAAAAACTTCCTGAAAATTTAAACCATAATCCATTCATGAAAGGATTAAAGCAAGGCTGAAATGTCTCAAAGTGCAACAAGATGGCTAGTCTCCTCTAGTAAGGTAGTATTTAGGAAACCTCTCTGAAAACCTGTTTTCCATCGAATTTTTATCAACTTGTTTATTGATAAAAATACTTACAATTCAAATAATTACCAACTATTTTCATTGTCAAGCAGCTTTAACGTGTGATAAAAACAAAGTACAAAAACTAGGTCCCTGAAGATACTATTTACTTTATTACTCATTGCTTCCTCAAACTCTAGATCTGTAATATCAGCTGTTCTTCAAGACAAGAAATTAATTCAGTTATAACAGATATCCACAGTGAAACAATTAGGCCAGTTAGAGTGACTATAGAGTATGGAATGCCTGTTCTGAACTTTAACATCTTAATCAGGAAAAAAAAAAAAAAAACTGTTATAGAAAGAAAAACTACAAAAGGATAGACAGTACTTGGAGATTAAGAATATGGATTTCTAACAGCACCAGTGTGTTTACTAAATATACTTCATATTTGAAAAAATACACTACAGTTGCAAGAATTCTCTCTGGATCTGCCCTGCCTTTTTTGGAGGAGGAAGGGAAGGGAAGCGTGTTAGTGTTTAGACACTGAACCAAGAATGATCAGGCTACATACACGCAATATAAACTTCACTTACACTAAATGACAAAGAGCTACCATATTATGGAAACATACACTCATATTCTGTAGGTAAATATTTAGAAACTAAAGCCAGACACCACCAAAGAAAAGGAGAAAAATCCATACTATTTTTCAGTTCCAAATTGAGAAAGCATCACTTGCCAGAGGGGTGACGTCAATACAGAGGCGACTAATAGGATTGTTGGGTCGCTGCAGCTCAACGATTAAATTAGTGATGAAATTCTGAATCGATGAAGCTCATTTTACAGCAAGAAGAACGGGGGAGGGAGAAGTAGAAAATAATAATTTGGGGCAGAAGATGCAAGAATGATAGAAGCATGAAGTTTTGTAAATAAGCCAAAGGGAAGGACTGAATCATTTGGAATCGTGAAGCAGGACAGGGTAGGGATATGGAAGTACACTGAAACTTAAAGGGGCTGGAGATACATTCAACAACAGTAAATGCACATTTTGTAACACGTGACAAATAACCGGAGAAATAATTTCAAAATCTATTACAGATGGCTTCTTTTCTAGAAACTACCACAATTATTAGCAAGCAAACGTCGTTTTGTCTCAGCCAGGTCTCAAGGTAGCTAGTTCGACAACAAAAGGCCTTTGGGAAGGGTAGCAACTTAGACTAATTTTGAAATGTAGGGGTTGGCTAGATTAGATTGACTATTTCCGGGATGACTACCCAGGCAGAGGATTATTAATCTGGAGTGTCCAGTCTGGCGGGGGCGCAAGCCCGTGGACCACCCTCGCGCTTGCTCTTCTCGCCTCAGTCCCTCCCCAAGCGCACCTGGACTTTTAACCAACAGGTAAGTCCGGTGGCCGACTGACTGCGCTGGCGGCAATATTCAAAAAACAGCTCTGGGATCGGGTAGGAAAAACTCTCTCCTGGTTCCCTAGAGCCTCCCGCAAAGCGGGGCAAACCACCACCTTCACCCCCGGCAACTGGCAACCGCCGGGTTCGGGACGTTGAGTCCAGGGCAGGGCCTGCCAAGACAGCCCCGCAATCTAAACCGCGGCCTGCAAAGTGCGGCAGGGCCTATCTCCTCCCTGGCGCCCGGCTCTGCAGTCGAGGACTAGCGGCTTTTCTACTCTAGCCCGAGGGTCGTGGAGCAGCTATAAAGGGAAGCGGCGAAAGAACAGCTGCGGAGCTCACCCCAGCTTCAAGGCATCGCGCTCCCGGCGGCAGCGGCGCCAACCCAGACAGCCGCTCAGACCCGCAGGCGGCGGCCGCTCGGTCTCCGACCCGGTCGCACCTCAGTGACGCAAAGCCCCGCCCCAGCACGTTGCCGGGGAGACGGTGCCCCAACCTTCCTCTCCCGGGATTAGCTCCGACTCTCACGCTCCGCTTCGCCTAAGGATGTTCGCGGCTAGCGCATCGAGGCCCTCTGAGAGGAGAGGAGTGACGAGGAAGGCAAAGGAGAGACGTTGCCTGCAGGCTCCTCAAGGCAGGGCGTCCATGGAGTGGCTTTGGATACAGCCTGGTAGACTCCTGCCCCTGCTGGCGCCATCTGCGGAACGGGCTGTCGAGGGCCAAGCTGGTGACAAAGGCCGCACTGCAGGCTCCGGTTTGGTCTAGGGGATGGATTCCAAGCCACCACTTACAAGGTCTCCAACCTCCCATGATGCTACACAACGATCATCTCTTGTTTATCATGAAATGGAGTCGATTTGGCTCACCCACCTGGGTTGTCTCGAAGCATAAATGAGCATGTATGGAAAGTAACTAGAACAGTGTCCCAAATGGTTGTTGTGTTGATGATAAGTCCTAATAAATGGCAGCTGTTGTTATTTTGAACACATGTTGGCCTGTGTAGTCAATAATTGCCACAGTCCTTCACTAGTCATTTGTAGATTTACCC